CGGCCGGTTCAAAATTTTCTTCTAAGCAGAAGAGTGGGCTTATTTTATGGTGGCACATCATTAATAAAACGTGTACACTTTCATGAAAAAAAAAAAACACATTTAGTTTTTTGTTGTTTGAACACGTTCGGTGTCATTCAGAGTATGCCTGGAAGTATATTTAACTTCTAGGTCTAGTCTTATGTACATTTTCATAGGTGTGATATTAAATTCATAAGCTAACATCAATAACTTAAAATTTCGGCATAACTTGCATGTATTCTACAAACTGCGGCACATACAGCCAAAGATGTTAAGCGTGTGAAAAGAATACTTCGTTTGTTGAGTTTTACTTACGAAGTAGACAGAACAGGTACCTGGCAAAAAGATGGGTTGAAGCGAGCCGTCACTCAAACGGGCCGAAGGCCCGTTTTCGGATAGAAGATGTATTACACCATAAAAATTCAGAAGGGACGGGCCGAAGGCCCGTACCAAACGCCGCCGGCAAGCCAAGCTGGGCCCGCTCCCTGCCGAACCGAGTTGCCGGTGGAGCGAAGCGGAGCTGGCAACTTGGTTTGGCGGAAGAGCGGGCCCAGCTTGTTTTGCACCTTCCCCTCTTAGATCACGATGCCGATGTGATGTCGGATCGATTTCGTCTGGAAATAGATTTGGAAAAGGTCACTTCCTCCTCTGTGTGTCTGGCGGTCTGCTCGTTCAAACACGTGCACCGCGTCATCCATATTAAGTCCCGTGTATTTTTTCCCCCTTCACATCGCTGCCCCTCCCCTGCTCCGCCCCACCACGGCTCATGCAGAATGCACCTCCCCACGTGACGCATTTGCACGCGAATCAGTCATCATCGCGGCAGCACCGGTCTCTCTTCTTTTTCATTTTACCGGCGACAGATTGTCTCAGCAATATTTCAATAATGAACAAGAGCTGCCCGTGTAGCGCAGGCCGCGGGTGAGACGGTGGGAGTCGCGCTTTAGACTTTAGCTCCGCTTCCGATCTCGGCCCCGCCCCCGCCCGCGGCCAGCGGGTCGCTCGCGTGATATCGCGATAAACCGCAAATGGTGAGGCTTCATGAAAGCCGACGCCGTTCGTCGTGTTGGATGGGGTCGCCTTGAGGCCCAGAATGACTCACGGTGCGCCTCTTTTCCTCCAATCGACGTCTCGTTCTTGTCAGTCGCCTTCGCACAGGACATAACATAATCGATACATCGATCTCGTTGTCGGCAAAATCAGACGCGCGCGGCGATTGCGCGCCGTGTCGCGGCAGTGGATTAAATAATTCAAAAAACGGCCTGAGAAAAGTAGTATCACGCCGCCGAGTCGGGACGGGTGGGACCCACGCCAATACATCCTGTCCGATCAAAACTTCTGTTTTGTTTCTTTTTGTCTTTGAAGGAAACTTTTTCTGACTGGCCTGATTTGTTGTTGCAGTGTAAGCAGTGCGGCAAGACGTTCAAACGGTCGTCCACGCTGTCCACCCACCTCCTCATCCACTCCGACACCCGGCCTTACCCGTGCTCCTACTGCGGGAAGCGCTTCCACCAGAAGTCGGACATGAAGAAGCACACCTACATCCACACAGGTGAGCACGACGCCGAGTCTGCGCCGACTGCCCGGGCGGCCCGGGCCCCCGCCACCGGTATTCCTCCGGGGCCTCCGGGGCCAAAGGAATGCCTCCGGGTCGAGCTGCGGGTGCAGTCCGGGTTCGGAGCCTCTGCCCGCCCCCGCTCCACCCCCGACCCAACGGCCCGGATTTGAGCAGCAATCAGTGCAACGGCTTGCACCTGTCCAACACCTGCCGCCTGAGTCAGACCCCCCCCCCCTCCTCCTCCTCCCGGGCGCCGGGCGGTTCGGCAGCAGGAGCAGGGCTTGGAGGCCCCGGCTGCGGTGGCGGTGGCTGCGGCAGCGGCAGCGGCGTTGGCCGGGGCCCCCGGAGTCCGTCTGGGTCCCGGCGGGTCGGGTCCCGCTGGGCCCTGCAAGCCGTTACCGAGGCAATGGGTCAGCCCGCCCAGCCACCTGCTGCTGCACGTCCCGGCACGGCCGGGGAGGCGGGGCAACCTTGGCTACAAATATAATAAAAGCCCGGCACACGATCGGATAAAATTAAGAAAGGTAAAACAATCCACAAGCGCGGTCCCCAGATTTTACCTGAATGATTCAGGTACCAAGTGTAGAATACATAAAGCACGGTTCATACGAGTTTGTGCTGAGCCAGTTGTTTGATCCGACGATTTACTCGTAATCACGGGACACTAGCGCATGAAATAATTCAATTCCCCAAGCGCCGTGCTGCGTGGCCAACGGGAACGGGGGAGATGAGCAACTGCAGTGCAGTCGGTGGACGGCGAGGTGCACGCCGGTGGCAGGTGGGGGAGGGGGGGGGGCAGCGCGCGCGCGCCACGCGCCCTGCCGCGCACGGCCCGGCCCGGCGCAACAGGCGATCCATTTACCGCTCGGCTGGGCCGAACACCCAACAGCTGCGCACCGCCGCCCGCCGCTCCCCCGTCGCCCTTCCCTTCCCTTCCCAATCCGACGACCGTTTGTTGTTACCCTTTTTACTGGGCGCATCTCTCAGTTCCGCTCCGCTGGCTCCCGGGCACCCGGCAGCACCCGGGCACGGCGCGCTCCACCCCGCCGCCACTGCTGTTCAGCCGCACGGCCTCCACCGCCACCACCGCCGCCGCAGTAACGCAGCCCTTTTTTGCCGATCCTCTTCCCCCCTTCTTCCGCATTCGCCAATAATAACTGTCTTTATCATCATAACCATCATGGTTTTCGTCGGTGTTTTTGTCGTGGGCGCGCACGCTCTTCCTCCGCTTCCTACGGAAGCGCGTGCGGAGCGGGGAGAAGCAGCTCAAGGTTGTGATGTGCGGAGGCGATGAGTCTGACCGGCGGCGTGCGTTTTCTGTTGCAGGCGAGAAGCCCCACAAGTGCGTGGTCTGCGGCAAGGCGTTCAGCCAGTCGTCCAACCTCATCACGCACATGCGCAAGCACACGGGCTACAAGCCCTTCTCGTGCGGCCTCTGCGAGAAGGCCTTCCAGCGCAAGGTGGACCTGCGGCGCCACCGCGAGACGCAGCACCCGGACGCGCCCGCCCTGCCGGCCGGGCCGCCGCGCCGCGCCCCGCAGCCCGCGCCCCTCGACCACCAGCGCCACCAGCAGCAGCTGCAGCAGCTTCAGCAGCAACATCATCATCAACAGCAGCAGCAGCAGCAGCAGCAGCAGCAGCAGCAGCAGCAGCAGCAGCAGCAGCAACAGCATCAACAGCAGCAGCAGCAGCAAACCTCGCCGCTCAGGCCGGACGACGTGTCGAGCAGCAGCAGCTGAAGACCACGGAGCGCCGGCACGCGGCCTGCTGCAGAGAGCTGTGATACCCCCTCACCCCCCCCCCCCTTCAACCCCCTTCCGCAGTCGACGGTAACATACCCTTGTTGACCCGGTGAAACGAGTCAAGCCCCAAGGAGCGCCGCGCCCCGCGCGGACGACAACGCCGCCGCGCCCCGCTGCATCGATCCGAGAGGGCTTGTCAATGTTTCATCGCCTGCACACGAGCAGCAACAAGCCAGGCCGGGGCAGGCCAGACTACGCCACGCCACGCCACTTGGTAATTAGTAGCGGCATGGCCAGTACTCTGGGGGAAATGTTCGCGCGGACAGCGGGCGGGCGTTCTCATTATGCCCGTTATCGTCCGAATCCATCGACGTCCAAAACGATAGCATTTATTATTAGTTGTTAGTCAGAGGAAAACCAAAGGAACTGATTAGAGTGCGGTGGTCGCCGGGGAGAGACGCAGCCGCGCCGCGCGCAGCACCCGCGCCTCCTCGCGCGAGTTCCGACTCGTTTTTGTCGCCAGGGTGCTTTTTGTGAGAAATGTCGGATGCCTAGCCGCTGATGCTACGGCCTGGCATTTACGCCCCGCCTCAGTTGTCGGAAAATGGGACCAAGTTTCTTTCCGACACTTAACGTGACAGTTCTAGTCTTCGACGTTTAAGCTCCAAAGGTCTTTACAGAAAAAAATATATTCTTTTGAATTAAACCAAAAAAGATTCTAGTACGTTTTGAAAATATTTTACTTTTAGTAAGAGGGTACGGTCGTTACCTCACCTTTCCTAAGGTTTCTAGTTTACGGCTGTAAATGTACATTTTTATTTTTAAATCTAAATCACTAAGAATTGAACGCCAATATATCATGCACTCTTGTCAATAGCTGCACGTACGTTGTGTTTTTGTCTAGTTGTAGCGCATAGCGCGCATGTAAAGTCATTTTATTTTCTCAATCCGTCCATCATCACAGCTAGCACACCAAAGAGCTTGTATTCTAGTTAAGAGATTTAAGACGTGAGATTTTCATGAAGCATCTCCATTTCGTTGTACATTCCACTTGTCAATAAGGGGAGGAAGCCATTTCTCACCCACTTGTATGAATTAATTTAGGTGAGATCCTTGCAAAGGGTTGATAAACTATTTTTTATGTCTTGCTATGTTTAAGTTTTAAGGGCATACTTTTGTGACTTGTACTATACTAATTTCTGCCCCCATGTAAACTGAACCTGGAATCATTCATTGTATCTGTAGGGTGCTTTTATTTGTCAACTACCATTAGATATCCCAGGATTGGAAATGTCAAAAGGTATGTGAAATAAAATTGTTATACTTCTTTAGATCATCGCACTTTCTCTCCCCCCCCCCCCCCCCCAAAAAAAAACTACTCAAAAAAACAAACTAAACACAAACAACATAAAAACCAAGATATAATTACGATAACAAAAAATTGTGCGATGCGTGTCGCGCGGGAACCTGCACCTAATTCCTCAATTTCAAAATCCCCCCCTCGCCTTTCTCTCTGGCTCCCGCACCCCGTCCTTCTCCATGCGCCACAAGGCTAGCTCCAGTAGAAGTGCGCGCTGTCACTGCTGCTGCTACTGTCGCCTTCCGCGCCCGGGACTGGTGCTTTGGCGCGAGTCTTGCTTATCGGCGTCCTGGACGTCGACGTCGCCCTCGACATGAGGCCGTCATCCGGATGGCTCGCAGCCGCCGCAGACTCCGCAGACCCCGCAGGCCCCGTAGGCTGCGTAGGACCCGCAGGCGCAGTTGGCCCCGTAGCTCCTGCGCCTTCGGGCGCTGCCTTTGCCGACCGCCTACTACTTCGCGGGGGGCGCAGCACAGAAATTCCGTCTTTCATGGGGCGCATCAGGTGTGGCACGTCCCCGCGCTCCGCAGCGATTCGCTCCTAGACCGGGAAGCATGAAGGTCGTCACGTGGCGGAGCAGCACAGCGCCAAAGAGGACCGCCAAGACGACTCGGGTCGGGGAGCGCCGGCGCGCGCCTACCTGGTCCCGCAGCACGTCGAGGATGTCCTGGGCGGCGAGTACCGCGGCGTCGGCCGCCGTTGCGAGGAGGCGCGCGTCGTGGCTCGCCCGCGAGGCCTCGCGCGACACGCGGTCAGCCTTCTCCACCACGACGCGGCTTAGCTCCGCCACCCGGAGCAGCCTGCGGCGGAGCTGAGAGGGCGCCAGGACGGCCCCGGGCGGAGGGGGGCTGCGGCAGGGGTGGGTTGAGGGAGGGGCGGGGCCTACTTCGCCTCGACTCGGACGCATGCCGAAGGAGGTCGCGTGGCGCGCACACGAAGTGGTAAACAAGCATATCGGAGTTCGATACCGTCCGGAAAGAGAGTAAACCCGATAGACACGACGATCGGCGACAGAGTCGAGGATCGAGAGGTCGCCCGCGTCGCGTAGCTCCCAGTTTGGCTGCCTCCGCCTGCACTGCCTGTCGCCCGCCTTACAGCGTTCCCAGGAGGAGTTCTCGGGAACGGTGAAGGTGAACGGGATCGTGAACGGGATCGTGAACGCGGTGAAAAAGTGAACGAACTGGTGAACGAGCCATAAGAGCTAATGGAGAACGTTCGTTCACTGCGGCCGTTTCCTCACGCGTTCACGGCACGCTCGTGGTTTCCGAGAAGCCCCCCGCTCAGCAAGGCTGGAGTCATCACACCCTCACGTGTAGGGGGCTGCGCCGGCTGCGGACGCGGTGGCCGCAGCAGCGCTCCGGGACCTGATGGTGTGCGCCCTGGGCGCGGGCGCGCTCCTCCGGCCGCTCGCCTTCGCCTCGGCCGCTAGCGGCGCGCCGCCGCCGGCCCCGCCTGGCTGGAGCGCCTGCCCCTGCCGGGCGGGCAGCCCGGCCGCCCCGCTGCCGGCGCGTTGCATAGCCTCTTCATCCCAGGCGCCCGGGCGGGCCGCGCCGCCGACCCCTGGCAGCTCTGGGAAGGGCAAGCAGCAGAGCATGGAGTGGGCTGACGCCGAGGCTGACGCGGGTGACGTCACCGGCCCGTTCCCCACATGGGCCCTCGACACCCCCGACACGTGTCGCCATGGTGACTCGCGCGCACGCCGTGCCGATTGATTGATTACCGCCGACGAGACGGAAGGGTTGGCACGAGGAGATTCAGAAGAATCGCGCCAGGCTGCCCTGAAGGGCTGGCCTACCTGAGGGGAGCTTGGACTGGGGGGCGGGGGAAGCACCGCCGCCGGCGAACTTGCTTCGAAACGCGCCCATCACGCGGAAGTCCGACGCGGATTGTGTGGCAATAACGCAGACAGGCCCAGCTCGTTATTGGGCGCAGGTTCTTCCAAAAAACCTTTCCGCGCGTCTCTTGCCCCCTCATATCCACGACAATCCACGGCCCGCTGTAAAAAACAAAAACAAATACTATTTCTCAAAGAACAGCAAAGTTGCTGTGAAGATTTCACTGACTTGTATTTTGTATCGCACGACCACACCGCTTGTTGTGTACCAACAATTTTGAAAAATCATATTCTTTGTTAATTTAACTGCACTGTTGTTATTCAACAGAATTCGATTTTCAGTAGCAAACATTGTTGTAAAAATTGACTGTCTTTAACAGTTTTGGACAAAAAAAATTGTTGCCATATAGTAATAGTTTTCACGAAAGGGGTTTGTTTCCCATCAATTATTTTTACAGTGCTCACCCGAGTGTACACTATGGGGGGCGGCGATGTCAAAGGAAAGAAATAAGGTGGGTTGGGATTGGCATGTGGGAGTAGAAGGAGTAGGAGGGAATTCCAGAAAGGAAATAGAGTGAGAGTTTAGTCTGTGATAAAATTGCTGCTCTTTTTGGAATATTTCTAGGTCAATAAGTTTATTCCTATGATTAAAAAACATGTGTAATAATATACAAAGTAAACAATTTTTAAATATTTCTCCATTGCACCTTTATAAGTTCAGTCTTTTTGTCAGATCTTCAGCTACCATTTTCAGTCTAGTTCCCATAAAAGCTTTAAGAATATTACGAAGAACTTCATGGCAAGAAGGAAACGCATTCCTGATGCCAAAGGCCATTTCACCATATATTCTGAATGCAAATTGTGTGCAAGGTTTATGAAACCTTAAAATGTCCTCATCAGTGTGCACGAACTGACTTTCAGCCCATTGCAAAGTATCATATACAGAGACAGATGGATGAAGGAATCCTTTGGACTCCACTGCTTCCCTCCATACAGATGGAATATTTTGATTACCTTGGTCTGCTACTAAAGCTGATTTACATTTTTCACAGTTGACCTGCTTTACCCATTTTGTTACAACTCGACTAGTCAGGTAGTAAAGACCAAGTCCCTCCATGTCTGATAAATCCTCAGACTCCTCAATGTCAACTGGCAGATGGCTTCTTCTATGCCTTAAAAAATCAGAAAGAAATGCTCCCTCTTCAAAATCATTTGCTGCAAAATTAGGATGGAAAAACAGAGCAGAATTAACCAAATGAAGGAACTGAAGTACATTGCAAGGCATTGGTTTTTCAGATAGAAGATCACTGCACTGTACCAGGTATTTCAGATTATGTAAAGATTGACACCTAAAACTGTTAAACTTAATTGAACTAACAAGGCCTTTTCCCACATAATGCTCATAAAAAGAGAGAGCAGACAATGTTGTCCTCCTTACGCTGTTCCAGAGCTGCTCATTATTTTTTAGATTAATATCCTTCTCTAATTCTTCAAAAATGCTTGATGTATCGCGAAGTGTTTGAACATGTGTCTCAACAGAGTAAAATCCTGAGCTATCATCATGCAAAATAAAAGTCATTGCATTTACCCACATCCATAGCATTCTCAAAACAAATATTTCAGTTTTAAGTTCTGGCATTTTATCTTCTTCTGGAAAATCCCTGTGCCTTTGAAACAGCCAAGTCGCAATAGATTGTGATGACAGTCCTTCACCTCCTTCAGTACTCAACAAAACTTGGAGGTGCTCAGGCCTCAATGACTTTTCTGTTAACTCATACTTATTCAAAATTTCATCAGGGAGAAGAAAATTGCTTTGCAAAATACATTCACTAACTAGTTTAGCAAGATCATCAACACTTTTAGAAAAACATAGGATGTCCCTCTGATAATAAGGATGTTGAATTGCACTATCACCCATGATTGCACTTTCATCGGCATGATTGTCCAGAAGATCAAAACCACAACCTTCTCCAAACACAACATTTACAACAGTGAAGTCATACTGGGCCAACAGTACAACCATTTGATTTAAAATATGCCAAATTGCCCAACCATCTTCTTCAATATTAACTAACATGTATCCTGCTAAACATTTCCATTCAACTTCAAAACCCTGAATCATGAATACTATAACTTCATTGGCTGTTTTCATCTCTGATGAAAGTGGAGCAACAAATCCTGTAAACACCTCTGACACATGATCAAACTGAATAACAGGTTCAATTGGAAAAACATCAACAGACAGAGTACAGAAGTGTGAGGCATTTAACATTTGTTTAATTGCATATATATTATCTTTAAGTACTCCTGGAGAGAAATTCCAATTAACTAACTTTTTGCACATGTCCATAAAAGAAATACTCGCTGAATCTTCTTGATTGATGTACTGTTCTAAGCCGAGAGTGTGTACTTTTTCCAGAGATGCAAACAACAGCGGGTCTGAAGAACTTGTCTGCAATTAAATAGGAAAAACATCAAAAAATTAATTTTACTCACAAATTCAATACACATATTGATTGTTGACATGAAATACACGAGATGCCTACCCCACTGGATTCAACACGAGACACATCAGGAGGTCTTCCGATAGGCTTCTTCAGAGTTAAAACTCTTGCTGAAATTGAAAGAAGATAAACTTAACCATGACTATTCCATCTTTACAGAACTTCAATACTTTCAAAGCTTTGCAAAGATGCCATCATTATTGAGGAACGGTAAAAACTACCACAAAAATTGAGAGCAATAAAAGTTTACAGTTGAATGACGTTAAGCATTTTCAAGACAAATGGGAACCGTACTTACCTGTCTGATGAGTGACAGGCTTCTTCATTTTTCTGCTACTTCAAGTGACTATCATTCATGTAAAAAAAACAGTTTTCTGGAGACTTAATCAAACCTGCAACAAAGAAAAGAAGTCCAACTCATTCAATAAGCTAAAGTTCAGAGACTAACCTGTCATCCCACATTTTTGCATTCAACGCATAGACAGAACTTAACTTAAATAACGATGTACATACCACATATTCAGTGAAGGTTCATGTGACACAATGCCTTGGCACTTTTTGAATTTTGAATCATTTGGAGGTACACACAAGTTTGTTTTGGTTTGGGGTTTTCGTTGTTTTCTGTGGTCTTCTGCTCTACCTGCGAATAGGGCAGAATAGGGTATCCAACGAAAAGGAACATGAATCTGTCACTGGACCTGTGTATGAAAAATTGACAAGCTTCCCGAAGCAAAAGCAAAAGCGAGGGGAATAGTTCAAATAAGTTAGGTGAAGAAAGAATTGGCAAACCAAAAATTAATTCAAACAAAAAAGAAAAACGTGTGTCGATTAAGTGACAGGACATTTCAATCCTACTTGGAGCACGATAATTTTAAATTAATTCTTGTGCATTCTGCAATTATGTCGAAGAAAGAAGTAAGAATTAAACGGGAACTGGACAAAATGATGAAACAACCACCTGCAGGGATTTCCTTGTGCATGATAAACGACAATATTTCGGAACTAAGAGCATGTAAGTCAGCACTATTCTTTGATAAATTTAATTTGATTCCTGACGGCTTCATGTTAGGAGTAGTGTGACAACATCACACTTGCAACAATGTGGGCTCGCAATATTGGTTACGCCTAAGATTTGACTGTTTGTGCCAGCATCGTGTTTACTGCTGGCATTGCATTTCAAAATTAAATTTAAAACAGCCTCAATTTGAATTATTTTAAATAAATCTCAATCAGCAATATCATTTTGTTATTGGCTGTCACTATTGTGCTGTTGCCACTGACACCAACAGAGCACGTAAATCATTCAAAACTCCTTAGTGACTTTTGCCTCGACTAACTTATGAGAGAGAATGCTAGTTCTCTCTATGCAACCTTGCAAATATAGACCGCTTCACCCACAACTTGGCAACACCGCTAGTAGAATTTTGGACTTGAGATAAACCGTATTTTGAGTGTCTGTCAACAAAATTACTCATCACTGAATTCCGTGGAAAATTTACCAGGGCCAAGTGGTTTTGCTTTTTGAAAATTTGCTCAAATTACATTTTTACTATTGAAATTTGCTTTGTTGTCAAATTGTGGGTGAAAAAGTCTATTCATTACAGTTCATGCTTCTGAATTATCTAATTCTTTTTCTCATCTCCAGCAATTATGGGTGTTGCTGGCACACCATACGAGTCAGGAGTATTTAAATTGGATGTCAACTTGCCTGATAGGTGATTGAAAAATGTCATTGACACCTACAGATTTAGCTCTAATGGAAGCAGAAAATTAAATATTTGTTTTATCATAACAGGTATCCCTATGAACCACCCCATGTTCGTTTCAAAACTCCAGTGTACCATCCTAACATTGATGACAATGGTCGAATTTGCTTAGAGTTGTTGAAACAACAGCCAAGTGGCTGCTGGCGTCCTGTTGTTACTATTGAGGCTGTCCTACTCTCTATTCAGTCATTACTAGGAGCTCCGAACCCAGACGACCCTCTGATGGCAAATATTGTGAGTACTAACACTTTAATGTATGGACATCAGAAATTACACAGTTTTTAAAAACTTTGGTAAAGGAATCATTTCATTTACTAATTTCCAGGCTAGCCAGTATCGCCTAGACAAACAAGAATTTGAAAGAATCGCTAGAGAGCACACTCTCAAACATGCGTGTCAGAACAAACCAAACATTGGAAATTCCTCTAAATGTGATGATAATTCCTTGGTAAGTTGTGATAAAACTTTCTTTGAAGACACAAAGGGTTGAGCACTAGGGGTGATCGAATTTTGCATATTTTTGATTCAAGAATTGCAACAGTGCGGAAAAGTTGCCTTGGTATATAGTACTAAGACTAACCATATTTTTTATATTTTTTTCGGACAAAATCTTGTGTCTGAACCAGGGGCCACAAGTTTAACATTTGTGTCTTATGGGCCTTTTGATCAAAAAGTGTTAATGGTGTCTTGTTCCTTTAATTTTCGCCGTACATCAAAAATAATGCCAGAATCGAGATCTTCGTCAAAAACTGAGACTAGCGATATATAACATTACAACATTCCACTCTTAAAAGCGAAAATAAAATTATCAAAAAACGGATTTTTTGAGATATTTTTGAATTTTTTCTTTCCCTTTTTGCTGCTGTGCGAAGCGGGATGTTGACATACTACACATCGTTAAACTCAGTTTTTGACGTAGATCACGATTTGGGGTCCATTTTTGATTTAAAGTGAAAATTGGAGGAGCAAGGATAGATTCACAATTTTTAACCATAATACACCAATGTTAAACTTGTGGCCCCTGGTTCGAACACAAGATTTTGTCCGAAAAAAATATAAAAAATATGGTTAGTCTTAGGATATACCAGGGCAACTTTTCCGCACTATTACAATTCTCGAATCAAAAATATGCAAAATTCGATTACCCCTATTGAGCACAGTACTTAAATATTTGTTTATTCTTCAGGATTCCAGCAAGCAGCCTGATGCAAATTCTAGCTCTAATGCTGCTAAAAGGAAGTCAAGTGATGGAGGGCTGAATGAAGAAAGTAGCAAGAAAGTGAAAACTGATCCTAAGTATTGACCAGTAATAAGGAAAGTCTCCGAATAGTCTTCGTGTTTTGTACCCCATGACAAACTTGGATTACATTTTTTTGTTCTGTTTAAAATAAAACCATTTTATTTATTGTAGATTCTGTTATTTAAATTTTTTTATTTTACAAAAGTTAAATTAAATAGTACAGTAACAATCTATCTAAAAAAATATTTTAAAAACAAAACTTGATAAAAAAAAATCTAATGGAAACTTGAAATTACGTACATCTTTACTTGAACTGTAAATTCTGTTTGCCCAGCAGATTGGCGACCAAGTAGCCTGACTTGGGTATCTGCAGGCCACTTGCATCCTTTTCCCACTGACTGAATATAAACTCAGCCCAAATGCTTTGGGTTGTTCAGGGAACACAGATAATCATTAACAACAAGCAGCAAAGCCGTCCAGGAATTAGTTTAGTTGATGGGAAAGACGCCGCCAAGGCGCCCAGTAGGTATCCAACTTCAGTTATCTAGATTTTGGAGCCGGTCAATATGTTCGCATACCTGCTGGCACATACAGGATTAACAGTGCAGGTACATTACACACTAAGGCTCACTTGCTCAGGCTGGTAAAGCCTTTAAGTTTGATTACAGGTATTTGTTCATGGTTTTAAGACCATATACTGTTTTGTGCTCCTATAAATATTCTCGACTGATAGAATAATTATCAGTCTTAGTAAGGAAAAGTTTGGCAATTCATTCAATTTGCTCAGAAAAATAAATTTGAACCACTTATCCTTTACGGTTTGACGGTAATGAAACTACATGCCACGCAAACGGTTCGTTTCCCGCAAACAGCACTTTGAATGTTTCGAGATTTCAGTCAGCAGCGCTTGGCGCGGTCAGAGAGCCGCTCACAGCTGGAAGTTCTGGATGCTGGAGGCGTACTCGGCGCGGTAGGCCGAGGACTTGGAGCGGCCCGTCCGGTTGGAGAACTCGGAGAAGCGGTCCGTGTCGGCGCCGGGGTGCATCAGGTGTCCGGGGCCCATGCCCATGTGCTGGGGCTGGGGCATGAGCAGCACGGGGTGCAGGTTGAGGGACTTGCGCGACCCGGACACGGACTGAGCGTCACCCAGGAAGCCGTTGTTCACCTCGCCTGCGGGACACATCGACAACAAGGTGAGTGACAACGCCGTACTACTTGACCTGGTCTGCATGGCGGGCGTTCGAGCCCGCGAGCCACTCGAGGAAAGCCTGCATGCGGGCGTGAAGCGGGGCGCAAGGCGTACACCTACCCTTGTAGAGGGAGCCGCTGTAGCCGGGCTCGGGCTGCAGGCGGACGTGCCTGGTGGCCAGGATGAAGGCGAGCGCGGCCAGGATGGCGGCGTCGAGGCAGCCGATGGCCGCCAGCAGGTAGGCCCAGCGCAGGCCGCACTCGCCCAGCTCGTAGCGGTTGGCGCGCGGCCCGCACGTCTGCCGCACCTCAGGGGCGTCCCAGCCCGCCGGGTACGTGACCACGCCGACGATCATGCACACGGCTGCAACAGAGGACATGGGTGAGTACTGCAGGTGCGACACTCGCGTCCTTCCCTGGCCTAGCCGATGGAGCCCCGCCCTATTCTGCAACACGAAACCGTTTGTAAAGGGCGGTTACGCTAGCCAGCGGTGGGCGGG